CAACTACTAATGAACGCAAACAATCTCTTTCTCAGAATTTACTGTTTGTGTCCTTTGATCATGGCACATACAGACAGTATGCCCTCCAGGTAAACAAATAGGTTCATTGTTTTATTGCTGAACATCCTTTTCCCAATCCTAAAAACTATAGCCAAAAGAGTCAACTCATTCGATAAGTATTTACTAGAAAGACGTTTGAAAGAGCTCTGCTTTGACCTTTAGCTTACAGAGTTTACAGGAGTTAACATGACGTAGTAAAGAGCCTAAAATGAATGAGACAGCCAAATACAGACAGATTTAAAGGGTAAAATGAGTAGAAAGGTTGAAATAAGGAAAATTTATTCAGGACTTTTGAGCAAAATAACCAGGAAAAAAGTGAAATTAACTTTGTTAGAACCAAATGTTTTAAAACATTTTGTTTTTATAGAGCAATGGAAGCCATGTTTGTCTGCATACCTCCAGGTGTGTCTTTTCTTTTGTCTGTATCTATGTGATGGCTAATAAAAGGCTAAATTAAATAACTTTGATCTGGTATCAGAAACATCTGAGTGTCTGCAGCCCAACTGTGCTCTAACAATAATAACCGACTTCAATTTGACTAAAGTGGAAACGTTCAATGAGATTTTAAAGAATGCACATGAATGGGGGCTCTGTGAAGCATCCCACAACGTATGATTCAGACTATATGTTCAAAAGACACCCTTTGTGATTTCTTGTTTTAATCAGCACCGATGCAGAGCATGATCAAGCCAAGGCACGATAAGACCCATGGGAGAGGAAAGAGGAGGCCGGTGGGGCCTGGACCACCTCCAGGCTGCTCAGCTCCTGCATTAGTCTCCACGTGGCTGTGTCCTTTGTCTGCCAGTCAAAGGGCTGCTGAATGGGGGTCAATTGAAACCAATTCCCTCTGTCGGACACAATTAATGGGGTTGCCCGGGCTGGGCGGGAGGGGGGGCGGCTGCAGGTCTGTGGTTACTGATCCCGGCGCACAAGCATGTCGGGAATTTGCCACCTGAAATTTGTCTTCTGACAATAACAAACCCACAGCCTTTCAAAGCCACCTCCTTCTCAGTGATGTATCCGAACCTGTCCCTGAACCATCCATCCTGACTAAATGTAAAAACTGTACAGAACAGAACAGGATCCTCCCTGCTGGTTTCATTCGTTCATTTTCTGCTCCAGCAGCAACACCTTTAGAATATTATCCATAAAACATTATAGAAATGTATAGCATTTCAAGTCAAAACCTTAATATTAAATTACATACATTGATGAACCACAATTACTTATTTAACTTGTATATTTCTTTTCATTAAAAAAACAATCACCTAAAGCTGATGAAAAGTACCCTTCAGTTTTGCAGAATATGGCACAAAAGTAATCTTCATTCAGGATGTTTACCACCACTTGTCCAATAAAACCAATAATATGAGGGGTAAACCTCAAAATGTTGTTTATAGAGAAAATGGCTGTTAATACAGTGCTGTATCTTCACAGATTGCTAGAACGTTAAGTGGAAGGAAAACATTTTAACAACAAAAGTTGAGCAAACAAGTCAAAAAGCACAGGCTTGCACACAACTGTGAAGCAAAGCTCATTTAAGAAGGTCACTGCACAGCCATGTTAAGATTATTGGCTACAACTGTAGCATTTTTAATCTTAGGTTTCTCCTGAACTGGAGGTGATGGACACATTTTACTGGGCTAAGGAGGAGGGAAAAAAACAGACCACTGTTGCTCAGTCCTGTTTATCAGATTAAAGCACATTTTGTCTTCAAGGCAGAGTGGAGAGACACTGACTGTAAGCAGAAGTCCAATGTGTGGCTTGGAAGATAGGGAGCAAAGTCATCTGCTGATGGTAGCCCACCAGAATCTATGCTGTCACCTAAAAGAGTTTAAGAGGATTTAACGATTCCCTCAGTTGAAAGCTTTATAAAAATGCTGATTCTATGCTTTATGCAGCTTCCACGCAGCTATACGTACCAACACCTGCTTTATGGATCATGGATAGAGCCTTATCGGCCACATCCAACCCCCAAAAGAGAATCAGCACCACATACGATCTAAAGGTCCCTATAAAGGCAAAGTTGGCTTCCTCATACCAGCAGACTGATTGACTCCCTCTATCCCAGACTGCACTGATGCAACAACTCATGCAAAAGGAGCCCTAAAACTAAAATACACCTGTAAATAACATACAGTAGCTACACAGACACAGCGGGCCCACATTTGTGTAATAGAAAAAGTATACATTAAATTTTCTTTCTATAATAAATTTACTGCAAAATGAATTTCTATAACATTAGGCCCTAATCATTAATAATCTCATATCATTTTTTCAACTGAGATGTTAATGACTTTCTAACTGATTAAAGATGCACCTCTATGTCATCATTTTTAAAAGAAAAAAAGAAAGGAAATTTTGAGTCTTTTTTTTTTAATCGGTTGATTCCGGGCAGAATGAACAAGAAAATAAAGCAATAAAAAAATGGACTCCCCAACACTGAGACAGAGAGGCCAACCTCCGCGTGTCTGAATCAATCTGCGGATCGATCCACCAGCAGCCCATCTACAGCTAAGCACTTCAGAGGATGTGCACTAATTGTCCTGTTGACATTAATTGTCATTAAAGGGCTTAAAACGGCCTCCGAGCTGTGACTTACATCCTACGGAGAGGCTTCAGTCCATTTGTTTATCTGTGACATCGCAACTGTCTTGGCCTATATCAAGGTTTCAGCGTGGATCAGGCAGGTTGACCTCAACTTGGGTTTATGAAGGCTGCACCGATTGCATCATCGCCTGACTGCATTAAGGCTCTACCTAAAGCTTTTCCCTCAGTGTTTTTTCTGGTTATAGTCCCTATTTTCTGACACTATAGTAAAAGAGGATCCTGCCCATGCTACATTTAACATAGTAGTTCCATATTTACCATTTTTAACCTTGTTTTGCGATGATAAACATTTAATACAGAGTTTAATCTGTATTTATGTCCAACTGGCCGCTCAATGTTCATGGTTCAGTAATGTTTCTTCTCTAGATCAACTGAGATACTGACTATTCAGACTGCAAACTGCAAAAATTCTTACATTTTTTAAGTGGTTTGTTTCCATTACATGATGAACTCATATTACTAACTGCCAAATTAGACCAAGAAGCAGCAGAAAATTTAGCCAAACTAAGTCTAACCAACTCGTTCCGGTTCGGTTTGTATTAAGTATCTGCTTGTGTTGAGCTCTTTGCTACGTCTCCAAGTTTAATCTGAAACTCCTGCATGTGTTTTATATATATATATATATATATATATATACATATATATATATATATATATATATATATATATATATATATATACATATATATATTTTTTTTCATTCACATCACTGACTTCCTATTTTAAAATACCTGCCAAGACATGAAATGAAGGAAACCAGAACATAGAGCCTTCCAGCCTCCACCCTGTTTATTAGAACTGCCGTGATTTAAGTTGAGATTTTACAATCAGCCCGAAAAAATTGTATATTGAATAAAAATGTTCCTATTAAATAACAATAGCATTTTTGACATTTTAATAAATGGATGGTAATGTGGTAAGCAATAGTATCTTTCATTATTCCTTTATTTTTGTGTTTTCATTTACTACATATCTTCAATTAAAAAAAATTGATCGATCAAACAACTTTTTAAGTATTCTTTCTAATAATCCTTTGCTAAACTGTAATTACATTTATATACTTTCAATCGTAATCTAAAACATATAAAAGTACTCAAACTGTTTTTTTGTTGTTGTTTTTTTAAAATTTGTAATGAAGCTCAATCAAATGGCAGAGATGATAATAATCATTTTGCCTTCAGCCCAGATTATGAGACTGAATTATATATTTGATGAAGCTATAGAGGGAAACAGATTTATCAGACCAGAATAACTGGATATGAGTGGGAGAGGAAATGAGCCAAATATAAGATAAATTAATTTGATGCTTTCAGACTTTGCCACGTTTATCTATAGGCCATAAAAAACTGTTGCTTCTTTGAATATTTCAAAGTTTGGAACACAACATCTCTTATCCCAGCGAGCCCTGATAAGATATCAATGTAATAATAGTAATGTAGTAACCTAAATGTGTGCCAGGTGACATTTAACTGCAGACTGTCGCTACTGAATAGCCTGATGTGTTTTCAACATCTGCTAAAGCGGGGAGCGTACTTGCATTTATTATCTCCAAAGCGACACACATTCATATGACCAGCGGTTGATGTAATCTGATTACAGCCCCAAAATCAAATGTCCTGCACCAACTGGGAGACGATGAATCAGTGCCCACAGTGGAGTGGAAAACATGTGAATGTGGTGCAGCTCAGCTCAGCTCAGCTGGTTATCCCCTAGTGGGCAGATAACAAACTACAAAAGCTTTCCTCTTCCGTGCCACACAGAGTGAAGAGCTCTCCAAGTGATTTGAGTTCTCCATTCAGAGAGCTTTCCCACCTCCTCTCTCCTCTGAATGGGGGCTCTAGTTGACACCAACAATGCACACACCTTGAACAGGCCCACTGATTCGAGGACCATTGTGCCAGAGAGGATCGCCCTACAAGTGTCTCTCCCACTCTGTTATCATCGGACATATCACTGTCTGTGGTGGGCTTTCATGACTTGTCCCACCCCCCACCAACTACTCATGGACAATGCAGACTAACTGCACTGCTTCATTTCTCACTGGCCTCATTTGCAGAGGAGGAGGAGGTGAAGGAGGAGGGGAAAAGAGGAGTAAATGGCACCATAACATAACAATGCACTTGGAGGCTCAGTTGGCAAACACAGCTGGGGCAGAAACAGTGAGGTGTTTAATGACTCATAACTCTGAGCAGACCCTACAAAGCTAAAACTGCTTTTACTGTATTGCAGTGTCCTTCTGATACACACAAAGCCTTTAGATCAACATGAATTTGGCAGCGCTGGCTGTGAAACATTCATGCTTCACAATAAGTTCTGCAAAGGACACTCACGTCAAATAAGGTCCTGGAGTCCAACCTGAAGTTAAAGTCCCCAAAGAGGAAGTAAGGCAGCTTGTCATATCGTTGGTCTGTGATCCTGCAAAACAATCAGAGAAGAAATTAATCCAAAAGAAAATGTCAGAAAACAGAAACCAAAAAAAAAAAGACACTTTATAACAATCAATAATCAGTGAAGCCTTTTAATTGGAAGAGGATTTAGATTGTGAGGGTTACAGCACCACCTGGTGGGCTGAACAATTCCATCTAAGGAGGTTACTTTTTAAAATGTGTTGTTTATTCTAAGGATTTTTGTGTTTCTGTGTGCGTCTGTGGGAAAGATATCCCAGAGTTAGAAAATACATCAAGTGATTTGCTTTCACAAGCAGTCAATTATGACTCTTGCCATAAGGTTCCACTTGGTTCTTATATATGAATCTTTATTGAAAATAATTTTGGGGACTAAAATCGAATACTACGGAAGAAGACGGAAGGAGAGGTTACAAAGATAGAGGGAATAAGAAGTAAGGAAGAGAGAAAAAGAGATAGAGACAAGAAATAGGGCAAGAAAAGAGAAACAATAACACAAAACAGCAAAGATGGATATCCCAGAAGATATACAGTAACCCCTAGAAGTCTGCTTCTACACCTGTTTGAGATGATATATAAAGAAAACAAACACCATAAAAACAGCAAAAAGAACACAACCAAAGTAAACATAAAAAAAAGCTTCAAAAGCAGTGGGTATCCCTTAGATATCTACATGTGTCAAAGTCAAAACCTATGGTTATTACATAATATTATTCAGGGTTTTATATATCTGTAGCTGCAGCTTAGTATTCATCATTATTGTGCATCTGTGAACACCTGGAACCCAACTTCCATTGTATGTAGGCATGGGCATGCTTGTGTATAAAGGATTTACCAAGTTTCTTCAGGATGAAAATATGCTTAATAGCAGGTGTGGGCGGCCCCAGACTCCCCCAACAGGGCCCAGGATTGATAAAGAGGCTATCCTGGCCCCAGATATCCAAAAGCACCCCAGATCACTGCGACACAAGTAGGGGAGACATAAGGATAGCCACACCCACCAGAGAAGGGCAGCCGGGAGCACCCGGACCCCGAAGGCCAAATCCTGAACCAGTAACAGCCCTTCAAGGTCCCATATGGTAAATGGTAAATGGCATGTACTTATATAGCGCCTTCTTTCAAGTCAGGAGACCTGACCAAAGCGCTTTACACTACATTCATTCACCCATTCACGCACACACGCACACACTGATGGTGGCAAGCTACATTGTAGCCACAGCTGCCCTGGGGCTCACTGACAGAAGTGGGGCTGCCGTACATTGGCGCCACCAGGCCCTCTGACCACCATCAGTAGACAATGCAGGTGAAGTGTCTTGCCCAAGGACAGAACGACACTGAAAGTCGGAGTCGGGGCTTGAACTGTCAACCCTTCGATTTCAGGGCAAACTCCTACATCCAACGCCACTGTCGCCCCATATCCCTATTGTACTCCCATACCCATGGATGCCAGGCAATCGCAACCCAGGCAGTCCACGCCCCTAGGCCACCTCTGCTGAGGTGAATGACATGCTGGAGAGAGAATGCAGCCATTTGATTTAGCAATGTTGAAGAAGGGATACATCTAAAAGTTGTAGTATACTAGAACCAGAGTCGGGGACCCCTGGATGTAGAGACACATATAAAAGCTCACTGTTAGAACGTGACATCAGAGATCTTTGGAGTCACCAGGTCTGCATAACAAACATTAGAAACTAACTAGAGGCCAACCAGTCCTTGCAGAGCTTTTCTGTAGTATCATCACAAAAGCAGAACTATGGAGTTTCCTAAACTCTTCTTGGACTTCATGGAGAATAGTATGTATTGGTCGGATGAGACTAAGACTGCAACAAACACCTCAATTATGTTATTCTTTCCACTATTTTCTGCATATTAACATATCATCTTCGACTTAAGTAGAGTCAAAATGTTTCAGTTATTATAAAACACTTGAAATCTTGATAAAGAAGTATGTATGTATCTAGAGCTGGTCCATTAAGACTGAAATGGAACCCCGTGTCTGAGTAATTTTCTTCAGATAATCTAAATCAGGGCAAATCACCAATGTAACTCAGGGACCTTCTTCTACAGCAACAACTTCCTTCCATCCTCTGGGATTTGTCTGCGGTGCATTTCCCATCCATTCAGGGCATTTGAGTAAGCCCTTAGCACAGTTAATCATCATCTGACGACGTAAATGAAGCACAATTAAATCAATAATCCTTGATAGGCTGCTTTGAAAAACAGAAAATTCAGTTTGCTGCATTGATCAAAGGGACAGTGAGCTAACACGACAGTGTGCAGGTCTGCTCTAAAGATCCAAATGCTTCTAAAAGACTTTGGGAATGTGGTTCTGAAGAATTATCTTTGATTTACATCTTATAAAGAGCTTTAACATACAGACCAGCTATGGTTCACTTATATGAATGTGTATACAAAGATGAGACTCAATGTTTGAGTACAATGTTAGAAGAGTCACAGTGGATCATTTTCTGTAACATGGACTACTTCCAGATCTACGCAAGTTCTGCAGAGTGCCAGCATCTCGGTGCTTTTAAAAAATATAGTAAAATAAAAAAATGCACCTAAGCGACATATAATGAACTCTTATGCCTCATCACCTACTTAAAAGTGGCTCTTCTACTGAGCAGAGATTAGAAATTAAGGTGGATGTAGTGCTCGCGCTTGTTTAATTAATGAGTCAGGATGCTTGGCTCACTATCTCCACTAATTGTGTGAATAAATCTTGCCGTTGACTTCTCAGGCACAGATAACAATATATTTATGAGGCCGTAAAGAGAGGGGAAAAAAACCTTTCACAGCGGTTGGTCTCAGTCTGGCCGGCTGTCGTAAAGCCCGGCTGCAAGGAGGTGCAAAAAGGTTTCACATAAAAAAAGGAACCCTTTCATTTCAATATTTCACTGGATTAAAAAACAAAATGGTTAATCTCCATTACTTTTTCTTTAATCAGGTAATTAACAAAATAATTTCCTTTTGAATGTTTGTGGCTGATGTAATTTTGTTTTCAATTCAATTTAATTTAATTGTATTTAATTCAAATCATTATATTAATGCAGCACCTATTCATAAGAAGCTTCATTTAAATGCACCCAGAAGATGCAAGAATGCAAGTCATATCTAATTATACTGAAATGCAAAACCAAACAAACTAACTTAGCAATATAAATAATATAAACATTTAGAGATTTAGATCAAATCCAGTTTGATCATTTCTTTATTTAAAATTTCTCTTAATTATTTATTTTCTTTTTTACTACTTTTAAGCCATTTTCTAATTCACCTTATGGTATTCAGATCTTTATTAATTCAACCATTTTACTCATTCACTCGTTTGTTTTCACATTTCTACATAATTCACTTGTTGCATCATCTATTCTTTCGTTGATTTACTGAATAAATATTCGTTACTAATTTAAATTCTTATTAGCTATTATTTTCTTCCTTTCCTAATAAATCTTTTTCTTCAATTTTGTTATTTTTTTGTTAAAATTATAAGTTAAAAGGATGTAAATGTTCATCCTTGAAAAAACGCTTAATGCTGCAACTTTTTACTCATTACTGAAGCACAATCAGGGTTTATTCTCTATGTTATACATTTATACAAATATGAAGAGTGGTATTTTAAATGTTTTTACACTTAAAAAAATTTGTTTGCCCAACCAATTGCCTGCAACAAAACAGATATTATATTGATGGTTTTATTGTGTGTATTCTTTCTGTTATATAAATAAAATAAATGCTAAATGATTTTCAAACACCAGTTTAGGTTCAGAGATATGAGAAACTGGCACAAGGAAAGAAAGACCTATAGGCAGATGACTGCTATTCTCTGGAAAATCTAAACGACAATGTACCACTTCTATACAAGGAATTTCAATGAATATTTTTGAGTGGTCAAATTATCTACAGCATCAAGAAAGCCAATACCTGCCGAATGCATTAGCAACAAGCCACAAGAAGGAAACCTTTCACTTCCCTGTGAAATGTATCCTACAGCCGCGATATCAAAACCAACTGACGCAGTGTACACTACTGCCACAGTAATCCGGAGGGATTGTGAGTGCTTGTGTGTCCCACAGCTCATTAATTAACTCAGACTGGTGTCATTTACGACCTGACATGAGGGTGCTAAGAGACTGAGTTGTATAGAAACACTTTATCCAGCTGAGCTGAGTAGAGGGCAGTAACAAGGCTAATAAGATGTTCTTATAACCGTGGGAACTCCTACACATCTCTTGGACAACTGAATTTTACCAGCAGTCCCAAAAGAGACCAAGTAGACCTAATAAGTCTTGATTTTTATCAATAAAAATGCGTTTGCTGTTGAGACAAGGAATTGCAAAGTTAAAATGTGAGTGATAATTTAATGGGATGAGAAAGGAAATGCACGTTTATCCACAGCCTGAGGTCTTTCTCCTGCTAACAGGCATGTCTAATACCCACCGCCTGGCTGTTTTGTCTGCGGCTCTGAGGTTTCAGCCACAGGTCAGAAGGTAACACTCTGTTTACACGATCATTTCCTAAAGCACTCATGGTGACCCGCTGGTGTGAAAGTTGACTTTTTTTCCAGGGCCATTGTGGAGGATCGAAGAATTGCAACATTAGCTACAGCTACTAGGCATGAAAGGAGCCTGAGGGTGGGGGGTCCTGAGCTTAGGGGTGCCCCCCACCAATTTGCTGACCCTCACACTTGGTGGGACCTCCCATCAGCCTCGTCATCATAGTCCATTCAGGCAAACTGTACCAGTGTCAGTGACATTTCCCCACAAAGACACACTCCTTTGCAAAGTCTATAAACAAGCTTTCTTCTGGCCAATTCATCGCACGGTGACACCCCTGAAAGAGCCCTCTTCATAGGGCCTGTTCTCACTGGAGTTTGTGCTGGGGTCTTCAACAGGCCTTCCGAAGGGCAACACATTGATAGGGGATAGACGTTAATTTATTACATGGCCCAGAACCTTGCTCCCAGGCTCCTCTGACCAACAAAGCAAATCAGGGCACCGTTTTGCTCTT